CACTCTTTGATAAGATATTCAAGTATATGAACATGATTACCTTTAGCAGCTATATAAAGACAGGATTGACCAGGATAGTAGTACATGTAGTATCCATGTGGATTAAAGTGATACTTAGTGATGAGTTCTCTTGTAACATCTAACCAGCCGTTCCTTATAGAAACATAAAGTAGGTTAGGCTCATTCCGGTGAAGTACGTTAGGACCCTGTGAACGTAGTAGCCGAACAGCTTCTTTATGATCTCTTCTTACAAATGCACCCGTACACCGTTCCATTATTAAAATATTCCTAATCAATGAGAGGCGAATGGAATGAAAGTGCAGAAGTGAGAGTAAGGAGCTGGCGCCGAGAGGAGAGAGACAACTATCAGAAAGCAAAAGGTCAAACACAGCATAGAATATCTATGCTATGGTCAGTAGCTACTCCTTCAATTTCATTGGTCAGTTTACAATAGCGACCCGCCTTATACCTAGTCTTAAGGCTGGTTCCCATATGATTGTATTTGTTGTACAATTAATGTTGCACTACAATCGTGGGCGTGTCGTACTTAGATTAATAACAAGTCTTAATAACCATGGTTACTTAATAACCATCAATCAAAATGGCGGATTTCACTACATTGATGCTGCTGGGTTATTTACTTATGGTTTTGGTGGTGTCTAGGACTCATTTAATGAGAAAGAAAAGGGTGCATCGATTATGGGTTAGGAAAATTTTTAGAGAGAGGGAAAGACTTGGTTTTTATAATACTCTTCTTTCACAATTAAGACTTAGTGATACAGAGTATTTTTTCAGGTAAATGTGTGTTGTATTTTTGTGTTGTGTGTCATATCTTTTACTCAGATTTATAAGAATGACACCAAGGCGATTTGATGATTTGCTGTCAATTGTTGGACCATACATTCAGAGGAAATCTTGTCGTTCAAGACGTGTCATATCAGCTGGAGAAAGATTAGCTGTCTGCTTACGTTATCTAGCAACTGGTGATTCTCAACAGACACAGTCCTTTAGTTTTCGGATTGGTCGCTCAACTGTATGTAAAATAATACATGAAACATGTGATGCAATATGGACTGCCTTGCGTTCTAAATACCTCAAAGCCCCTGCTAGTCTCGAGGATTGGAAAAACATAGCCAAGGGCTTTCATGATGAATGGAATTTTCCAACCTGTGTGGGGGCTATAGATGGAAAGCATGTTTGTATTGAATGTCCCAAGAATGCAGGTTCAGCATACTACAATTACAAGAATTTTCACAGTATGGTTCTCTTAGCTGTATGTGATTCAAATTATACTTTTACTATGGTCGATATAGGATCGTATGGTAGGGATAACGATGCATCAATTTTTGCTGAATCTTCTATAAGCACACTGTT